TTTTCTTTCTTTCTTCCTTTCTTCCTTTCTTCCTTTCTTCCTTTCTTCCTTCTTTCTTTTTTTTTTAAATAATAATTAGAAGGTGCTGTCACTCTGGGCAGACTGTCTCAATCCAACGGGTTAAACACAGACGTTCCTTTGAAGCAGAGCCAGAAAATATCTGAACTAGAAAATGTATTAAATGGCATGGTCAGAAAACCAGTTTGCCATCATTATCTTTTTTGGTGGGTGAAAATAATGTTAGAGAGTTTGAAAAATGAATCACTTATATAATTTCTTTAATGGTCATTATTTCAGGGGGTAGGTTTATCCATAGTCTCAATATATCCTTTCTTCAGCCCCTCTGTAGTGTTTTGGTTTGATTTTTGAGTGTTTTTGTTTGTCTCGGTGAAACATATACACAAAGGTAGGTAACTGAATTTTTCTGTGGGAACAGTTTCAAGGCACAGCCTTCAGTACTTTGGCAGTTCTAAAACCACGTTTCTGAAATTCAGATGAATTTCTATTTTCCTGAGGATATTCTACCCATCTTAGGTCACTGTATCAAGCATGAAACATATATAGCTAAAGACAAACTACATAAGAAATTATAAGTCATAATCACAACAGTGTGGGGAATTTCAATCATGTGGAAATATAATTCTAGAAATCTCAAATTCTAGAAAATAAAGGGAATTGCCCTGTTTTGCCCACTGTCACCAGAAGAAAACCTCACCAAGAAAATTGGTTATACCACTGATTTCCCTTTAGTTCTATTTAGATTTATATACTAATTGAGAATTTCAAGGCTCAAGAGCTTTTTCTCTTGGTGTGGTCACTGCTAACGCTCAGGCTACTGCATGACGTTCTTTACATAGGTCTAATGAAAATTATCTTAAAGCAATCAAGGCATTTTTAAAAGTGCAAATGAAAACTTGCCAGCCTCCTCCCGACAATACACATGAATTGATTTGGAGACTTTCTCAGCAACCATTTGCTTTCATTTCATTTGCCCAAACAGCTCTACCTATGATCCTCTTCTCCTGGTCCCTGTTTCTATACTCTCATTTGTCACTGGAGGGACCTGTTAGGTTTCCTCAAATGTCACTACATCTAGAAAGTGCTTCCGCATGAAAAAGGGCTGAGTCCATGACTTTGAGCAGCTCTCATAATTACTGTTAATTCTATATTTTGTTTGATTATTTTAAAAAAATATCTAATTTACAGATCCACATAAGAATACATCCTTCTGCCTTGCCTTCATATTCCTTAGGTTCTTTCATAGTCCTTATATCACCTTGGATTCTTTTCTAGTTCTTGATGTTTTTGCTGCCCATATTATCAATTGTTTAAATATCCATCAGCATTTCTGAAAGCTCAAAGGAAGAACAAGAGGCCGGGGGTAAAACTGGGTATTTCTCCCCTCCTCATCAGTTCCTCTTATTAAGAATGACTAAAATTAAGTTTAAATTGGTCATTGCTATGCTTGAAATAAACAGTCATTACTTCAAATCCTTGTACCATAGTTAAAATAGACATGTGCTCATTAGGAGATTATTCAAGATTATTTATCTTGTACCTCGAGTTGTTAAAATAATGTCACGCCATGATTAAACTGTACAATAGCACAAGGATTAAGGGTCTAATAGCTTTTTAAAGTAATGATGGATGCTTCATTATTGTTTACTTGCTAGTTTTTAATGTTCTTTCTGGACTGCTCATGTTCTTGAACTGTGCGTTATGTAATGAACTTCTAAACAATCCCTGTTTGTCAATTAATATCCAGGTTAATAGCTTCCATAACATCCTGTCTATTTCATCAATGGAAAGTTATTTAACCTCCTGGACGCCAAGTATCCACATCTACAGAAATGAAGATGATGAGACAGACCTTATAGTCATTGTGAAGTTTAAATTAAGTAGGGGGAATTTGTAAAATTCTCAGCAGATAAAAGTTAGTCATAGGAAACAGAGTAGTTTACAATAAAAGTTTGCTCGCATGTTGCTAAAGGTGAAGGAAAACGTAAAGGAGAAAAGGAGCAAAATGATGCAAGTAGTTAGCTGGGTTTGGCACCTTTGCTTTGGTTTTCCTTCATCAGGTTTTCTTTTTTGGAGGGGCACCCCTAATTCCGATCTCAGTTCTTTTCTCCTACCAGTGTTCTAACCTCATTATCAGCCTTTGGATGGAAAGAAGCAATGGTTAGGTTAGTGGAGGACATATATGTGAGGCCAAATCAGAGTGAGCATGGTTTCAAAAGATGTGACAAGTGAAGCAGAACTGAACACATGAACAGGGCGGGACTACAGAGAAAGGCATGATGAGTAAGATGTGGAGAAATACAACCTAGGAGTTTGGTCATTAATAGTCCTTTCCAGTTTCTTTTTTTTTTTCCCACACTGTGGATCATGAAATCAAATTAGTTGGTTATAACCAGAACTTGTTCTTTCCAATAAAAGAAAGAGAACAGAAAATATCATGGGATTGATTCTTCATTCTAGTTATGTGTGTGTTTATTATTTCAGTTACCACAGAGTGTTGTAAAATAAATAAATAAAAATATTGAGAACATTCTTAGTTTCATTACTCTTCATAATGCCAGGCCTTAAAGACACAGGGATATGAAACAACATTTTGGCTGAAGTATGACTCTCTATGTGTTTAAATATTGAATTTGTATAAACCACAGTCACTCAATAATATTTGTTCAGAGGTTTCTTATGGGGTCTTATTAATGTTCCCAGTGACTGCTTCTGAAAGTAGGAATGCTATATTCTTTTTTTAACATATTTTATTTATTTATTTATTTATTTATTTATTTATTTATTTGGAGAGAGAGAGAGAGAGAGAGAGAGAGAGAGCACTAGAGCAGGGGCCGGGGGAGGAGCAGAGATAAAGGGACAAGCAGATTCTGCACTAACCATGGAGCCACATGCAGGGCTCCATTCACTACCTGAGCTGAAATCAAGAGTAGGGCGCTTAACCGACTGAACCACCCAGGCGCCCCAGGATGATATATTCTTTATGAAAGTTAGATCTTCGGTAATTTAACCAAATGTGAAATAATATATCATGATTCTACCAAAAATAAAAATAAAAATCCATTTGCTTCAGTAGAATAGGTAGGACCAGGAAAGTTCCTAGGTAGGCTTGGTCAGCTGACAGCTGTGGTCTGAGATGAGCACCTTGGATAGCTCCAAAATACACAGTGGCTTTGGCCAAAGTGAAACAGGCTATTTCATCTGAAGTTTGTTTAGATTCACAAGATCTACACTACTCTCAACGTAGTAGACCCTGTTAATCTTAAAGTGGCAGAACCCACTCATTCATGGCTTTGTCTTCATCCTTGGAAGTCACCTTAGATTTATTTTCTATGGGTGGTAATCTGTAGTTTCTGTGGGTAGTAATCCAAATATCTAAGGAGATACAGACCCACAGTTGGATAAATAGAGATGTTGGTGTCATCCATTGAGTTCCTTGAGTTGACCATCGAAAAGTCTCTCTCTCTCTCTCTTATGGAGCAATATGAGGAATCAAATTCTATACCCAGTTACCTCCCTGCCTCCAGAATAGGAACAACCTACTTCTAGTGATGAACTCTCGCCAGTGAGATGTAGTATGAAAAAACAGATTTAAAGTATGGAAATGGCGTATGGTCTCAGCTCTATTTCTAGCTGTGCAACCTTGAGATAATTAACTTAAACTGCTGGTCTTAGCATTCCCAACTATGCACTAGAGCTTTTAATACTGTCTTATTTAATTTGTAAACCATTGATATAAATGAGAAGATGCATGTATAAGCATTTAATAAGAGCTAAAGATACTCAGAAACATAAAATAGTATCATCTCATACACATGTATTTAGAAGGTTTTTTTAAATATCTAATTATGGAATTTCAGGCTAAATTAGATTTAGGATTAGCAGGTAAAGTGGGGTAATATTTTGAAATATTACCTCTAATTCTTCTTTCTTATTTTCCATGACATCTCCTTCCTAGAAACTTCAGGGTATTTCCAAGTAAGAAAGAGGCTATGACATGATCTCATTTTTAACTCTAGGAAAATTATCTCTGTAAGATTCTGGGATAAATGGTGAGTGGAGACTGGGTCTAGGCATTGTTAGCTAGTCATACATCTGATTCTAGAATCCTGTGTTATCTGTTCTTGGGTTCATCCTTTAGACTCTTCACATGGTTTTTATATTCTTCTCTCCCTAAGCTCACACTTGGTCTTTCCTTAACTCCCTTCCCATTTCCAAAGGACATTTTGGCTGGGGTCCAGGTCTGACTTTCTTTATGCCCTTCCCATCATTTTCTATTGCCTTTGAAGAACTTCTAACTACCCTACGGGATACTCATGGTGTCTACTGTCTAACATCACAGTTTAAGTCCTATATGGCTCACGGGATAAAAGCTCAAGCTTAGTTCTTCTATATTCATAGTCTCTGCATTAAATAGCTAGAGCTCTGAGCCCTGGACCAAGTATTCAGCACTGGACCAGGTATTCTTTCCATCCTTTTCCCCAGGTATTTCTCCTTTCGATTACTAGGGAATTTCTCCAATTTGGTTGTCTTTTTCTATCTTCTAGCTGATATTCTTAATAGTGTTGGTTCTCATCTTCTTTTTTCCTCCTTTTCAGTCTTTTTGGCTTAAATCCTCTTAATCAAACAGGCAATCTCATAAACCATGTCCACCCAGAGATGATCAGTTTGTTTGTTCTTAGACATTAAGATGCCTATATGAGTCCTGTGCATTCCTGGTCTTTGAAAAGACTATTTTATTAAGCTTATTTTAATACTGGGCCCTATCCCTGGTCTGATGGGACATGTTTTAGAGGTCATTGTTTATAGATCTGTATCCGTTCCATAAATAGATTCTGGCATTTTCTGATCCTTTTTTTATAATAAGAGACTTCAAAAATATTCTTTTACTTCCTTTATACATAAGAAAGAAGATACTGAATAATGTTGCAGAAATTCTAAATCTCCCATTTATAAAGGGAATGTGGGTCCTCTGCTCATATTGTCCATGACAAAGTGCCAGAGAAAATAGTAAGTAGATAATTTTCTGTCCTTGTAAATGCTAATTTATGGTGGATGAGAGAGAATGTAGAAGACCCAGTAGCAGGAGTAAGGAGATCCATTGTTGCAAATAAAATTGTATACAGGGAAAACATAATAGAAAATAGTAAGAATTTTGATAAGAAGGAAAGAGGTAAATTCAGATTTTTTTTTAATGAGTAAACATAGTTTTAGGCCACAGATGTTTTCTATTACAGAACTTCATTTCCCCTCAGAAACAGAAACATACAATCTTCTTGGTAGTAATTCAGTCATCTTGTATTTAAATATTTATCTTATGAGTAACTAATCACATGAGGATGCATCCCTCCCCCCGTTAAGTTCCCTAATTTCTGACTCTTCTTGGTTACCTCTGTGAGGGAAGATAGGATGGTATTTTCCTGGCATCAGGAGTTGGTGATGGTTCTGTTTGATGTCCAGGCTTTGGATTGAATGTCACATCCTCTCTGACTGCACCCACTTCTGATGTCTCCAGTTGCAATGTGTTCTCCACACTGTGTGCTTCATACTGCGTACACTAGTTAGATTCCTTTGTTATAATCTTGAAGCCTCTTTCAGTTGGATGGTGCTCTTGGCCAACTCTTGGGCACACATGTGAAACTTTCAGATGCTCATTCACAGCAGAGGAGAGATGTCCTCTACTAGCCCTTGACTCTCTTTTCTCCAATCTGAGATTTCTCTAGTTTCCTTCCCACAGGCCAGATAATGTTACATCCTCTCTGGGTGGGAAAGTTCCTCTTTTTCCCTTGTGCATTCTCCTCACATTTTGGTTTATGATATAAACTTTATAATCTGAGGCTTTCAATATTTAACATTTCAAATGAAAAGCAAACTTTTGGAATTTAAAAATGTCCTTTTGTCTCCCTCAAGCCACTGACTGCTTGATTTAATACTCACCCACTGGATAAAGTTGGACTAGTTACTAAGAATTACAACCTTCTGGATGCAGGGAGAGCAAGAGAACCTAACCTACTGAATTATTTTCCACATTAAACAAAGGTGATACCATAAAGCTCTAAGTAGAGTTCTTGACTATAGTAAATTTTCAATAAAGATTAATAATTCAATTTGATATATTTAGCCTTCCTGAGGAGCACCCACAAGCAATAGTATGATTAAACTAGTTTGGAAAACAGTTTTGAGCTTAAAATTTACACCTGAGAAAAATGCAGTAAACCCTTGGCATTTGAAATTATACATTTTTATTTTGATTTGTAATTTTGCTTGGTGTGAGTTGGAATGTACCAGTTACCTGACAAAGCAAGAGTGAATCACTCAGATAAGTTATTGAACTTGCATTGGGCATGAAGTAGATATGTAGATAGCTTTAATGAGTCCCCAAAATACCAAATGCAATAATGCATAAAAAGACAGAAAGCTATATTGAGGTGCTGATACTGGGTATTTCCCAATGCAAGTTCAAAAACTGTTTTCCAAACTACTTTATGTAGTTACATAAGCTGTTCCGATTTTAACCACTGTTCTGTGAAATATATGACAATTTTCTCCTCTTTGACTCAGTTTAGCAGGTTCACAACAGAAATAAAAGGAAATGCTTTATTATGAGCTAATTGGTAATAGAAAAATACATTAAGATCCTTGGATATAATGTTTTAAAATAACTGAAATTAAATTATTATCATATTAATATATTTCTATAACAATGTGCTTTGATTATTCTTAATTTAATTACTATTCTTGATGGTGTCTTAAATATGCATTTAGAAGACATGATTATATTTTCCCAAAGTTTGTTTCTGTTATCTTCTTATCCACGGCATTTTTGCTAATTAAACTTTTGATTGCCTGTTCTTTACCCAGACATGAAAATAATTTCAGATTGTTATACCAAACCTTCAATTATAATGTAAGGATTCTTGAATTATGATATTTAAATATCTTTGCAGCTGCCTTTCCAAACCTTAATTACTTAATCCTGTCTATAGCTATAGGCTGATTCCAACACATAAGCCATAAATAGTAATTACTTTATTCTCCAAATTTAAGTTTTCCACCATATTCCATGCAGTTAAATCAAAAGGATTTTAGTTACCAAATTGGAACTTTCCATACTGCATATTAGTGTACCATCAGTACAGCTGGTTACTAAAAAATAAATTGGTCAATATTTTAACAACACTAAGGTGGCATGAATCAAGAGGTAAGAATTTGAGTATGCAAAGTAACATAATTTTGTGTGACCTGCGATTCTTGGAAACTGTCTAATCATTTGGGATTGTAGAGATTTTCCCAGTTTGCTTTGCTGAGGGGATCTGGCCTTTTGACCATCTTACTTGAATCACTTTTTAAAAAATTAAGAGATGTAGGATAATATATAAAAGCATATAACCTTTATGTGTAGAGTTTAAAAAAATTATAAAGCAAAGCTATGTGTATACTGTCCAGATTGAGAATTAAAACATTGCCAGCACCTTAGGAATCTCTCCGCTTCTCCACAGTATGTGCTGCTTCCCATGTCAAGAGTACCACTGGCTTGCATGGTGTGCTTATTATTCCCCGGCTTTTTTTTTAATTTAATTTAATTTTATTATGTTATGTGAGTCACCATACCATACATCATTAGTTTTTGATGTAGTGTTCCATGATTCATTGTTTTCGTATAACACCCAGTGCTCCATGCAGTATGTGCCCTCCTTAATACCCATCACCCGGCTAACCCATCCCCCCACCCCCCTCGCCTCTAAAACCCTCAGTTTGTTTCTTGGAGTCCATAGTCTCTCATGGTTCGTCTCCCCTCTGATTCCCCCCACCCCCCTTCATTTTTCCCTTCCTTCTCCTAATGTCCTCCATGGAACTTATGTTCCACAAATAAGTGAAACCATATGATAATGACTTTCTCTGCTTGACTTATTTCACTTAGCATAATCTCCTCCAGTCCCATCCATGTGGATGTAAAAGTTGGGTATTCATCCTTTCTGATGGCTGAGTAATATTCCACTGTATATATGGACCACATCTTCTTTATCCATTCATCTGTTGAAGGGCATCTCGGCTCTTTCCACAGTTTGGCTATTGTGGACATTGCTGCTATGAACATTGGGGTGCACATGGCCCTTCTTTTCACTACATCTGTATCTTTGGGGTAAATACCCAGAAGTGAAATTGCTGGGTCATAGGGTTACTCTATTTTTAATTTTTTGAGGAACCTCCACACTGTTTTCCAAAGTGGCTGTACCAATTTGCATTCCCACAGTGTAAGAGGGTTCCCATTTCTCCACAACCTCTCCAACATTTGTTGTTTCTTGCCTTGTCCATTTTTGCTATTCTAACTGGTGTACAGTGGTATCTCAATGTGGTTTTGTTTTGAATTTCCCTGATGGCCAATGATGATGAACATTTTTTCATGTGTCTGTTAGCCATTTGTATCTCTTCTTTAGAGAAGTGTCTGTTCATGTCTTCTGCCCATTTTTTGACTTGATTATTTGTTTTTTGGGTGTTGAGTTTAAGAAGTTCTTCAGAGATCTTGGAAATCAGTGCTTTGTAGTGTCATTTGCAAATATCTTCTCCCATTCTGTGGGTTGCCTCTTTGTTTCGTTGATGGTTTCCTTTGCTGTGCAGAAGGTTTTTATCTTAATGAAGTCCCCAAAGTTCATTTTTGCTTTAGTTTCACTCACCTTTGGAGATATATCTTGAAAGAAGTTGCTGTGGCAGATGTCAAAGAGGTTACGGCCTATGTTCTCCTCTAGGATTTTGATGGATTCCTGTCTCACATTGAGGTCTTTCATCCATTTTGAGTTTATCTTTGTGTAGGGTGTTAGAGAATGGTTGAGTTTCATTCTTCTGTATTTAGCTGTCCAATTTTCCCAGCATCATTTATTGAAGAGACTGTCTTTTCCATTGCATATTTTTTTCCTGCTTTGTCAAAGATTATTTGACCATAGAGTTGAGGGTCCATATCGGGGCTCTCTATTCTGTTCCATTGGTCTGTATGTCTGTTTTTGTGCCAGTACCATGCTGTCTTGGTGATCTCTGCTTTGTAATATAGCTTGAAATGGGGCAACATGATGCCCCAGCTTTGTTTTTCTTTTTCAACATTTCCTTGGCCATTCGGGGTCTTTTCTGATTCCAGACAAATTTTAGAATTGTTTGTTCCAGCACTTTGAAAAATGTCATAGGAATTTTGATCATGATGGCGTTGAAGGTATAGATTGCTCTGGGTAGCCTAGACATTTTAACAATGTTTATTCTTCTGATCCATGAGCATGGAATGTTTTTCCATCTTTTTGTGTCTGCTTCAATTTCTTTCATGACTGTTCTGTAGTTCCTAGAGTATAGATTCTTTACCTCTTTGGTTAGGTTTATTCTGAGGTATCTTATGGTTTTTGGTGCTATTGTAAATGGAATCATTTCTCTAATTTCTCTTTCTTCAGTTGCATTGTAGTGTATAAAAAAGCAACTGATTTCTGTGCATTGATTTTGTATCCTGCCACATCATTGAATTGCTATATGAGTTCTAGTAATTTGGGGGTGGAGTCTTTTCAATTTTCCACGTAAAGTATCATGTCCTCTATGAAGAGAGAGAGTTTGACTTCTTCTTTGCCAATTTGAATACCTTTTATTTCTTTTTGTTGTCTGATTGCTGTTGCTAGGACTTCTAGTACTATGTTGAACAATAGTGGTGAAAGTAGGCATCCTTGACGTGTTCCTGATCTTAAGGGAAAGGCTCTCATCTTTTCCCCCTTGAGGATAATATTTGCTGTGGGTTTTTCACAGATGGATTTTATGAACTTGAGGAATGGTCCCTCTATGCCAATACTCTGAAGAATTTTAATCAGAAAAGGATGCTGTATTTTGTCAAATGCTTTTTCTGCATCAATTGAGAGGACCATATGGTTCTTCTCTCTCCTCTTATTAATGTGTTCTATCACATTGATTTGCGAACGTTGAACCACCCTTGCATCCCGGGGATAAATCCCACTTGGTCGTGGTGCATGATCCTTTTAATGGATAATCCTTTTAATGTGCTGTTGGATCTTATTAGCTAGGATCTTGTTGAGAATTATGGCATCCATATTCATCAGGGATATCGGTCTGAAATTCTCCTTTTTGAGGGGGTCTTTGCCTGGGTTGGGGATCTATGCTGGCCTCATAGAATGAGTCTGGAAGTTTTCCTTCTGTTTCTATTTTTTGAAACAGATTCAGAAGAATAGGTATTATTTCTTCTTGGAATGTTTGGTAGAATTCCCCAGGGAATCCATCAGGCCCTGGACTCTTGTTTTTTGGGAGGTTTTTGATCACTGCTTCAATCTTCTTACTGGTTATTGGCCTATTCAGATTGTCAGTTTCTTCCTGTTTCAGTCTTGGTAGTTTATAGGTTTCCAGGAAGGCATCCATTTCCTCCAGGCTACTTAATTTATTGGCATATAGATGTTGATAATAATTTCTAATAGTTGTTTCTATTTCCTTGATGTTAGTCGTGACCGCTCCCCTTTCATTCATAATTTTATTAATTTGGGTCCTTTCTCTTTTATTTTGGATAAGTCTGGTCAGTGGTTTATTGATCTTATTAATTCTTTCAACGAACCAACTTCTAGTTTCATTGATATGATCTACTGTGTTTCTGGTTTCTAATTCATTGATCTCTGATCTAATCTTAATTATTTCTCTTCTAATGCTTGGTTTAGTCATCATTTGTTGCTTTTTCTCGAGTTCTTTAAGGTGTAAAGCTAGTTGGTGAATTCGGGATTTTTCCATTTTTTTGAGTGAGGCTTGGATAGCTATATATTTCCCCCTTAGGACTGCTTTTGCGGTATCCCATAGGTTTTGGACCCATGTGTTTTCATTCTCATTGGTTTCCATGAATTTTTTAAGTTCTTTGATTTCTTGGTTGACCCAAACATTATTGAGCAGAGTGGTCTTTAGCTTCCAAGGGTTTAAATTTCTTCCAAATTTTTTCTTGTGATTGGTTCCAGTTTCAAAGCAGTATGGTCTGAGAATATGCAGGGAATAATCTCAAATCTTTTGGTATCGGTTGAGACCTGATTTGTGACCCAGTATGTGCTCTATTCTGGAGAAAGTTCCATGTGCATACGAGAAGAATGAGTATTCTGTTGTTTTAGGGTGGAGTGTTCTGTATATATCTATGAGGTCTATCTGGTCCAGTGTGTCATTAAGGCTCTTGTTTCTTTGTTGATTTTTGCTTAGATGAACTGTCTATTGCTGAGAGTGGAGTATTGAGGTCTCCTACAATTAACATATTATTATCAATATGAATCTTTATTTTGGTTAACAGTTGGCTTATGTAGATGGCTGCTCCCATGTTGGGGGCATAGATATTTACAATTGTTAGATCTTCTTATTGGATAGACCCTTTAAGAATGATATAGTGTCCTTCTGTGTCTGTAACCACAGTCTTTAGTTAAGAATTGCTACCTCAGCTTTCTTTTGAGGTCCGTTGGCAAGGAAGATGGATCTCCATCCCTTCACTTTCAGTCTGGATGTATCTTTAGGTTCTCTCGTAGAGTCTCTTGTAGACAGTATATGGATGGGTCCTGTCTTTTTATCCAATCTGCAACCCTGTGCCGTTTTATGGGAGTGTTTAGGCCATTCACGTTGATAGTGATTATTGAAAGATATGAATTTATTTTCATCATGTTGCCTGTGAAATCCTTGTTTCTATAGATTGTCTCTGTAAATTTCTGTTCTATATCACTCTTGGGGTCTTTCTCCTTTTATAGAACCCCCCCCCTTAATATTTCTTGCAGGGCCGGCTTAGTGGTCACATATTCTTTCAGTTTTTGCTGGTCTTGGAAGCTCTGCATCTCTCCATCCATTCTAAATGACAGCCTTCCCGGATAAAGTATTCTTGGCTGCATGTTCTTCTCGTTTTGTACACTGAATATTTCTTGCCAGCCCTTTCTGGCTTGCCAGGTCTGTGTGGATAGGTCTGACGTAATTCTGATGTTCCTCACTCTGTATGTAAGGAATCTCTTCCCCCTAACTGCCCTTAAGATGGTTTCCTTGGTTCTAAGATTTGCAAGTTTTACTGTTACATGCTTGGGCGTTGGCCTGTTTTCCTTGATCTTGGGAGGGCTCCTCTCTGCCTCTAGGACATGAATGTTTGTTTCATTCCCCAGATTAAGGAAGTTCTCAGCTATGATTTGCTTAAATATATCTTCTAGTTTTCTCTCTCTCCACTTCCTCAGGGATCCCAATAATTCTGACATTGGAACATTTCATGGTGTCACTTCTTTCTTATTCTGTTTTCATGGATTTTGAGTTGTTTCTCCCTGGCCTCATCTTTTTCCTTCTTTTCTATCAATTGGTCTTCTAGATCACTAATTCGTTCTTCTTTTTTTTAAATTTTTTTATTGTTATGTTCATCACCATATATTGCATCATTAACTAATTCGTTCTTCTGAATTCCCCTGCTCTTCTTTAAAATTTTACCATCTATTTATAATATAGCAAAACAATGTATGTTAAATTGGGGGAAAAAAGAGAGAGAAACATGAGAAACCTAGCCATATAAAGAAAAGATAATATTAACTTTGTCAGATGAAGACTTCCAGAAGAAAACTTAATAAAATTTGGTTTTAGCTGCTCTGAAGCTGTAAGAGCTCCTTTGTAGTGGGCAAAGTTATGTGTGAATCTTGGGGAGGAGAGCTTATCAGGTTTGTGCCTCATTCTTAAAATGACTTAAATTTGTGAACTGAATTAATACAATACATATGGTCTCCAGATGTTTAATTTCAATATCTAGCATTGCAGAACTAGAGGTGATTTTTCACTCCATCTATTCTAGTCTATCCCTGATGATGGGCATCCTGTCCAGAGGAGCCTAGCAGTTCTGATGCTCAATGATTCTAGTGAGAAATAAAACTATAAATGAGAACATATTAAACTTTTGAACAGTAGTGATTGCTAGAAAGTTCCTCCTATTCATAACCTAGAGTAGGTTATTCATTTGTTTTAGTATTATCTTCTGAAGCCACACAAATTCCTTATAAATATAACTTTTCAGATTTTTGGAAACATCTATCACATATTTTCTGAGTTTTATTTTATTTCAATTAATCCCATTCTTACTTAGTAGTTCTATAAGAAAATGTCCTATAATACTGCATATTCATGAAAATTGTTATTGAAGATACTGGCTTCCCCCCTCCTTTTTTTTTTTTTTTTTTTTTAGTTTTTTACTCAATATTTTATACAGCCCTAACAAACAAAACACCAAAGCACAGTTTATATACTTCCACTGAGAAAAATAAGAAAAACGATGAAAAATCAGAGATACCTGCAAAGGTCTGTAGAATATTATAGATCTTACTGTTGAACCATCTTGAGTACAGTTAGTCAACAATCAGTAAATTATCTTAATTTTCCTAATGGATTTTTTTTCTAATTAATCTTTTTTTTAAACATTTTATTTATTTGACAGAGAGAGAGAGAAAGAGCACACAAGCAGGGGGAGCAGCAGAGGAGAGGGAGAAGCAGGTTCCCTGCTGAGCAGGGAGCCCGACCCTGGGCTCAATCCCAAGACCCTGGGATCATGACCCGAGCCAAAGGCAGATGCTTAACTGACTGAGCCACCCAGGTGCTCCTTTAATTAATCTTTTTAATGGATTTCAAATTTCATTTTATTTCTTTTGTTTGCTTTTTTTTAGTTTTTGAAGAACCTCTCTAAGTGAACTCTAACACAGAACCCCATTAATGAAGACTGAATGTGGAACTGCTCTAAAAGCAAGGGAGGACTACCGTCCATTCTCTGGGCTCTCCTCTATCTCCTGAAGTGCTCAAGGAAATTATGAAACTCAAAAAACTCTGGATAAAGCTATTTTAACACCACTGATCTAGCCTATTTCTCTCCCACTCACTGAAAAACAGGAGATCTATAGATGAAGGGGATTTTAGAACTTCTAATTTCACATATGAGAAAAGTGACAGATAGTGAATGAGTCAGGGTTCTCTAGAGAAACAGCACTAATAGGACATAGATAGATAGATAAGAGGAAATTTATTATGGGAGTTGTCTCATCATGATTATGGAGCCAAGAAGCCCCACTTATGCCCTCTGCAAGCTGGAAATCCAGAATAGTCTGAAGTCCTGAGAACCAGGAGCTTTGATACCCCAGGACAGGAGAAGATGGATGCTCAGCTCAAAGAGAAAGGAAATTTCCCCTCCTCCATTTTTTTTTTCCTATTAGGGCTCTCAATGGATGGGATGATGCCCACCCATGTTGGTGAGGGCAGATCTTCTTTCCTTAGTCTATTGATTCAAATGCTAATCTTTTCCAGAAACACCACACAAACACTGCTACAAATAATGTTTTACCAGTTATTTGGGCATCCCTTACCTTAACCAGCTAGGTAGATGCAATAAAATTAACCATCAGAGAGATGGGTGAATTTATTAGATCTTTGAGATATTTTCATAGTAAAGTACAAAGAATAATTATCAACAGGAAACAAACAAAATGACACAGCTTAAGTATTTCTAAAAAAGAAGGAAAATAAAATGAAGAAAAAAAATATCAATTCAACAAATGGGAAGCTGGAGTAAAAATTAGCCAGACTGGTTGAAAATACAAATTACGGTAGAATTAATAATATATGTTAGTAATAGACATGCACATAAACATAAGACTAAATTCTCCAGTGGAGAGACAAAGATTATCATACTGGATTAAAAAGCAAAGTTTGGTTGAATGATCTGTATAAATACTATCCTAATAAAGGGACATTGAACAGGTGAAGGTAAAGAGATTAATAAAGATATAACCCAAAGAAAAGTGATGCACTTGTAACAATGAATGAAGTATTTTTTTGTTAAAAGCATAATTTGAGTAAAATGAAGTAATTATTAACTAACAAAGGAATACCATTTTAATAACAAAATAATCCAACATTTTCATGAATCTAGTAACAAAGTATCAATATACATGAAATAAAAATGGGAAGAATTAAAAGGAGAAATTTAAAAAAACAGTCACAGTAAGATATTTTTATAGATTTTTCTCAGAGACTGATAGCTTAAGCAAACCAAAAATGCCAGAAACTTCCTGTGATACTGTGATTTATAACAAATACATACTTGTCTTTGTCATTGTTCCTGGCAGGGAGCTCCTAAAACCCTAGGAATTTCCCAAATGAAGAGAGAAAGAAATGTGTTTATTCTTATGTTAATGAGGTGATTTTTGGGCCCTGCCTAAGGCTGGGGCTGGTTGTCAGGAGAATCAACCCTGTGACTTGAAAGTTGGAACTTCCAGTCCCTACTCCCCTCCCCATTCCCACCTTTGTTCAGAGGAGAGAGGCTGGTAGATGGAGTTCAATCACCAATGGCCAATGATTTAATCAATAATGCCTATGTAAGAATGTCCCCATAAAAACCCAAAAGGAAAGTTTGGAGAGCTTCAGGATTGTTGAACACCTGGGGATTTGGAGACAGTAGTGGGCCTGGAGAGGAAATGGAACCTCTGTGCCCTTTCTCCATACCTGGCCCTATGCATTTCTTCCATCTGGCTGTTCCTGAGTTATATCTTTTCATAATAAACCAGTAATCTAGTATGTGAAATGTTTCTCTGAGTTCTTGAGATGCTCTAGCAAATTAAGTGAACCCAAGGAAGGAGGCTGTGGGAAACTGACTTATAGTAGGTAGGAAGTTCAGGTAACCCAAGCTTGTGGCTGGTTGGCTTCTGAAGCTGGGGAGGGGAAGTCTTGTGGGACTGAGCCCTTTAATCTGTGGGATCTGATGCTCTCTTCAGGTAGATAGTATCAAGATTAAGTTGAACTGTAGGGCACCCAATAGGTGTTCAAAGCATTGCTTGTTGGTTGGGGAATCCCTCTCCCTCCACACACATCGAACTTGGGTCCAGGAACCCAAAACCTCCCATATGTTTTCTAATGGCTTTTTGTGAGCTCAACTTCCATGGTAACTATTTTCCACTGGACACAATTTGTATAGACTTGCTTTGGGAGTAGTTTCATAGTTATCTCTGTCGAAGACCTGCAAAATTCACAGGCCTCAAACTAGGTTTTAATGTTATATTTCAACATAGAGTCATGATACTATAAGACGAAGAATTTGATGAATTGAGTAGAATGGATCTCAGTCCTTCACACTATAATGACACATATGCTTGGCTTTGAAGTGTTTTGGGCACGATTTCTACTCATGGTCAATGGCAGGTTCTTTGCATTGGCTGTGATCTAGGAACACTGCTTGGGATATTCTGAATTTCAGTTTGTAAACAATAACAGTGAGTGGCTGGATCCCAGACTCGTGTTGTTCAGTACCATGTCTCATTTTGAATCTATGGCTATAGTTTCAAAAACTTCCACCCCATTGTCTCAGCCACCCTGCAAAACTTGAGCCCCTATTTACTGATATATTTCCTTTCCTGCTTCCAAACCAAATTATTTGTTTTAAATATGAGTGCATATAATTTTATATTTATTCATATTAGTATGAATTCATAAAATTGAATGCATTTTCATGTGATTGGAATAGAGGGAAATGTTCCCACATGTGTTTATCACTCTATCTAAGAGCTGGTGACCTGACTTTTTGCATCTACATATCTCAGCTGAGAAAGTACTCAAACTAGAATCCTGTTCACTTATTTCCACTTTTACTATGTCCAATTGCCTCATAACTTTGAAAGACATTGACTAAAATTTTGCCAAACCTGAAGTTTGAGAAGGTAATGCCATTTCCCTGATGAACTCTTCTAGTACTGTCACCTAAAAATGAAAATTTTTATAATTTGTTTTCAGTGAATTTATGCAAGTTCCTGATGGTCACAGTTTGGAGCTGGCTTTAGGTATTTAATTCTCCCTCGAGAACTTTTAGATGAACTTGGATCATGTCTACATTGACAAAGTAGAGCCATCTAATAAATTCAGTACAAAATGTGATTGTAGAATTGTCTAAATTGACTTTCTAGGCTGTCCAGATGATTGCCCAAGCCTCTGAATTATTGACAGTTTAGATGTGAGTTTATGATAATAGCATATTTTATTGCCTATTTCTGAGAGATTAAAGTACTGACTTTCCTGAAGAGATATGCATCAGATATTATCTCTTTTGATGACCTTAGGGGCTAATTCTGACCAACTTGAATTGATCACAAGTTTCAAAGAATAAAGGAAAAGATTAGGAAGAGGGAATATTTTCTATTATCTCCTGAAATAGTGCAGAAATATTTATAAACACAATTTTCTCACTTATGTTTTTTCAAGGGATTCATAAATTACATATCAACCTCTTATATGTAAACCATTAGGAAATGTATAATATTTATACTGTACTTAAAATAAAAATATACTTTCTCATTGGGGATACATCATTCCCATTCAACAGCCATTGTTCCTAGCTCCAGTGTCTCTTTCATTGTGCCAGACTTTAAAAGTTGGGATAAACAAGGCACTCAAAGAAAATGGAGATGACTGGTATATTTTATTCATATTTCTAATATTCAGATATGCATAACAGCCTTTAGACTTGTGTAGACACAGTCAAAGTACCTTTAACAAGGGCAGAAATGTACAAGCTCTTTTTTCTCTCTTCTGCCTTCATGTAAATCTCCCCCTACACTCTAGGTTCCTGGGTAACCAATTAGTATTATCACCCATGCCAGTCTCTTCCCACCAAAATTTAATACTGCAAGTTCCTGCAAAAGAATGTCCAGTCCGTCTCCCCTGATATGCTGCTAAAGGATAATTTTTAAATGCTCTGAGGTTTTGATTTTTAAAAGACATTGGCCAAAACAAAATCTGTTTTGATCTTCAATCAAGCAATGGAGGAGCCAGCCTCCACCTACGGTTCCCTCACATCCAGGTGGATGCCAGCCCTTTCCAGAACTCCCCGTGAAGGCTCCTGGGGAAAACCTGCCTCAGCCTGCTCACTCACCGTGGGTACCTACCAGCCTGCAGGATGCCAGGAAAGAAGACAGTAGTCGTCCTTCCAGCCCTCCTCCAAAACAAATAGCAACAACGCATTTTTGGCTACTTAGCTTGATTTCTGGCTCCACGATTTTCCAAAGTTGCCTCGCTTTGCAAGACCTCATAACGCGTATTTGAACATAAGAATTCTTTAGGCAGTTCCTTCTTTGAGTGATTTCTAGTATGTAAGTGTAGTTGAACTCAGGTAAGGTGAAGGAAAGGATGCAAATGAACTTGCATTTCTTTCATTTCCAAACATCTCAAGAAATTGATTCTGCCCATTTCAGCTATGTTAGTGGTTGTGCTTGTTTTCTAAGAAGCTGATGTAAGTATTCTTCCCAGAAGAATTTCCTCTACTTACTTTATTCCAGGAAACATATATTTCTGTTTTGGCTGATTACTTATGGTGCATCCAAAAATCGTATGGTATAATTTCTTGCAGAGTTCAAAAGGATTTCCGTCTTTGCACTGTAGAGCTCCAACAGATGCTAATTTTTTTCCTAACTTAAGTCTTGTGGTATTTGGTAGAATCAGGGCACCTGATATTTGTCCCCAATTTTTTATCATGTTTACCACTTTGTTGGCCTGTTTTTTATCCACTATTCTCTTCTCTGGAGAGGCCAGCACCAAACTGGGTTGGTTTGGGAATATTATCATTTGTTAATAATGTGTTTAAGTTTTTCTCACATGATTTAAGAAGGTAATTATAACATATCATCTCAGGGTAATAAAAATGTACAATACACATTAAGTAAAGTTTTATTCAA